CATCGCCGTCGCCCCGCCGCCGTCCGCCTCGCCCTCGCCACCGCCTCCCTTCACCTCGCCCTCGCCACCGCCGCCGTCCGCCTCGCCGTCGCCCCCGCCGCCCTCAGCATCGCCGTCGCCGCCACCGCCGTCCGCCTCGCCCTCGCCACCGCCTCCGTCCACCTCGCCGTCGCCCCCGCCGCCGTCCGCCTCGCCCTCGCCGCCGCCTCCGTCCGCCTCGCCGTCGCCGTCGCCTCCCTCGGCATCGCCGTCGCCGCCGCCGCCCTCCGCGTCGCCCTCGCCGCCGCCTCCGTCCGCCTCGCCGTCGCCGCCGCCTTCCTCCGCCTCGCCCTCGCCGCCGCCGCCGTCCGCGTCGCCCTCGCCCTCGCCGCCCTCCGCCTCGCCCTCGCCGCCGCCACCTTCTGCCTCACCATCGCCGCCGCCTCCCTCCACTTTGCCCTCGCCGCCGCCTCCCTCGGCCTCACCATCGCCGCCGCCTCCCTCGCCGTCGCCGCCGCCTCCCTCCGCCTCACCGTCGCCGCCGCCTCCGTCCGCCTCACCGTCGCCGCCGCCTCCCTCGGCCTCGCCGTCGCCGCCGCCTCCGTCCGCCTCGCCGTCGCCGCAGCCTCCCTCGGCATCGCCGTCGCCCCCGCCGCCCTCAGCATCGCCGTCGCCACCGCCGTCGTCCGCCTCGCCCTCGCCGCCGCCTTCCTCGGCCTCGCCGTCGCCCCCGCCGCCCTCAGCATCGCCGTCGCCACCGCCGTCGCCACCGCCGTCGTCCGCCTCGCCCTCGCCGCCGCCTTCCTCGGACTCGCCGTCGCCCCCGCCGCCCTCAGCATCGCCGTCGCCACCGCCGTCGCCACCGCCGTCGTCCGCCTCGCCCTCGCCGCCGCCTCCCTCCACCTCGCCGTTGCCGCCGCCTCCCTCCACTTCGCCCTCGCCACCGCCTCCGTCCGCCTCGCCGTCGCCGCCGCCTCCCTCGGCATCGCCGTCGCCCCCGCCGCCGTCCGCCTCGCCCTCGCCACCGCCTCCCTTCACCTCGCCCTCGCCGCCGCCTCCGTCCGCCTCGCCGTCGCCGCCGCCTCCCTCGGCATCGCCGTCGCCGCCGCCGCCGTCCGCGTCGTCCTCGCCGCCGCCTCCCTCCGCCTCGCCCTCGCCGCCGCCGCCGTAGCGCCAGCAGTCGCCGC